ACTTAATCTTTGAAATTTAAAAATTCTCCGCGTAAGATTCTTAAAGCTTTTTGATTAATCTGACAAGAGCTAAAATTTACTGGTTTTGTATTTGACTGTGAGAGTTACGCGAGTCTGGAAAAATTTACTTTAGTTAGATCAATCGATAAATACAGTTTGCTCACAATCGGTGACAAAAGTAAGAAACTGATTTGAATTCTCTGGTAATTAGTAACCAGGTCAACTTCTTCACTGTCTAGAAGAAACGAAAGCATTCTTCCAATTTTCTTCGTCCCAAATTCGTTTCGGAACTTGAAGATGCTCTGAGGTTTTGATATGCTAGCTAGCACCATTCAAGGAAACAAGTCCACAAATCATGCGAAATTGCACTTGATTCAGCCAAATTCTAACTGAATCAATCGGTAATAAAAAGTCAATGCTCCATCTGCGTTCGCTTTAAGAAAATAAAGACTAGCACCAGTATGCCGTAAGTCCAATACCAGTGCTGGTGTATCTCCGAGGAGATACGGGTCGGCCAGATTTGAAGCAGTAAGGGCCAAAAGGATGCTTTCTGTTCCAGGATGAAACATCACTACGGATATTTACTCAGCGCCAACGTAAACTTACTGCAACTATGGGTATCTCATGTGCTTTCACGCTTTTCTTTTATGTGCTACCAATGTGTCTCAAGTATATCATTTTTACGCACAAATACACGCCAGAACGCTCTCCGGATTTCGTTCGGATTGTTGCTGCAATTAGCTGTAATCTGAATCCGTTGACAAATATTGCTGCAATCCTGATCCGGCACGAGGATATTGCATGCTGCGTAATGAAAATATTCCCAAGAAGCATTCAAAAATGCTTTGCACGACAAGATCGCTTGCCAAGTATTGCGCATACTACTACTTTTGCTAATCGTCGAACACTGAACACGGAAAAGTAGCATGTGCGGACGTGAGCCCAAAACTACGAGAGATTTATGGAACTGAAGCTACAAACACGAACAATATACTCAGCGACCAGACAAAACCATCAAATCCAAAGATCGCAGCAGCGCCGCAACAGAGTGCCAGTGGATTTTACAACAGGCTTTTTGCCGATC